GTGAGCAGTCAAGTGCTTTAATAACCAGGAAAGGGGTGGAGTCAGGCTGCTCATTTACCCAGAGGCTTCCCCTTTAGCTTCAACCCCTGACCGCCTACTGCAAGCTGGGCATTAGGGACAGGAAGATTTTAACTTATAAAGCTGTTCTCTCATCAGTATGGTGAATTCTTTTCATGTTTTTTTTCTAGTCCTGAAAGGAAAGAAGTTAAGTCTTCCAATGCCAATCTGAAGGTTGAGATGTTCTACACCTTAACAAGGGCATGGAGTAAACCATTTCAAATGTTCCCCATGGTGACTTGCCCACTTGGGCTCAAAACTTAAAATTAAAGCCAGAAAAATGCTAAATGGATTCAGCTGCACACTGATCATTCTAGAAGACTTTCTCATCAACAGGATCTCCCTGGTAAGCCTGAGGGGCAAGTATGATGCTTCAAAACATCAAGTGGAGCAGCAAGGCTTAGTGCCCCCAGGACTGCTGCTGAAGGCCCCAGCACAAGACTCCTGCTCTTTAAGGAAGCAATCTCCATCTGGAAAGATGGCCCAGTATCTGAGGAGAACCCCCAACTGAAGCTGGCAGTGCAAACATTAAGAGCATAGTGCTCTGGAAGTTTGACTTCCAGGTATGAGCGAATTTAGGGAGTGTCAGTACAAAAGGTTAATAGCCTACAGCTATAAATTGTCACTTCACCTGTACCATGCCTCTCACAGCAAAACAGACCCACCACTTTAGCTGGAGCCCAATAGTGTCACACACCACCCCCGTAACAGGCTTTTACTGTGGTTCATTCACACCAAGTACTAGCCCTACACCCAGTACTTTAAATCCAATATAATCCTACCTAGACAGACGCTATCATCATCACCTGTTTACTGAGGAGGAAACAAGATACCCAAACCCTTAACTAGCAGCTATGGTGCCTTGTAATTCTGTGACTCAGTAATTTAAGACCAACCATTCTCACTGCTCCTTCAGTTTTAGGTGCTAACCAAGGTGATTAGTTAAACCATCACCCCCAGTTGTGGTTTTATGAGGACTACCGTTTAATAATATTCAGTGAAGAATTTTTAAGTAATAAAAGGGTCCACACTTTATTGTCAACAGTGTTTTTATTTATACCTACAAAAGAAAACAAGATGGTATCAAAAGAACATTTTACAAACTAAGAATAGTAACATAGCTCTTAGCATCCTGTGCCTGAATGCCACACATCTACAAATCTTCCAATTCAAGTCTTAATGCAACAGGAATGTGTTCAGAGACCAGCAAGGACATGAAGAGAGAGCACTGATCCCAAGCAAAGCCACCAACCTTTTAGATGAGAGAAGTCCACACGAGGAATTGTTACGGGGTGGGGAGCAGCAGCCCACCGCACACTACTGAAACTCTTGCCCCCCCCCCACCCAGTGGAGGGCGATCACCACCTGAGGACTCTGTTGTTCATGCTATGGCACTAGCAGAAGCCAGCTCACGAGCCACAGACATGGAGGCAGAACCTAGAGCCCTACAGGAGAGACTCTGTGCCACTTCTGCCGCACTCAGGCCCCAAGAGCTCGGAATCTGGCACTGGTCATTATTTTATGATTCTAATGTCCCTTGTGGAAAAAGGGAAGTGGCCAGACCAAATAACCACGTGCTTGCCCAGAGACCTTTCCCTTAAATGGATGCTTTCAAGAGCTGTAGAGGGTAGTGTGCCCCTCTAGTGGTACCTCTTGTTCCTGGTGGGATCTAAAAGGGGTGGGGATCAAGAATTTGGTTGTAGAGAGAGATGTCCATGTAGACTGGTCAGTGCTTAGATACATAATCTGGAGGGTGGGTTGATGCTTTGGTTTGAAAAGCACAGAGCAACTGTGCCTCATTTTTCCTGTGCCTACCATCCTACTCGCCTCAACCTTGACAAGATGAGGGAAAAGAGAAGGAAGAAAGGAAGAGGGGTATCAAAACTCACATGCAATAAGTACAGCTTTATGCTGACAACCTACCTGTATGTTGAACATTCAACCATACTTTCAGAACCCCTCAGAAACCATCCCTTCTCTCTCCCTGAAGAATTTTAAAAAGGAAAAAAACAAAACACACTTCGAGTATGAAGATTATTTTGATCTTATACACCAGCACTCTCCAGCCTCAGCTAAAGAATGCAGTGCAGGCTTCCTTCTTTAACTACATTGCAAGCAATACCCAAAAAAGAAAAGAATGAAAAATTTGAATAGTTCCACACTGGAAATGGAAGGTTTCCAGGGCTATCTGATCTTATTAAGGTCAACACAAGAGCAGAAAATACTTTACAAACCCAGTAAAACAGTATCACTATGAAGGAAACAGACTCACCTACCTTCAGATGGAGGAAAGGGAAGGGACTTAAGCTCTCATCCCCTGTAGCTTTCTGAAGCACTACCTACCTGTAAAAAGCTGGGTGATAAGGATGCCTGAGAGTTCACACCAAAAGGCTGTTACAGAGCACTGCAGAGAGCAGGGTGTGAAGAGGAGAGTTCATAAAGAACCCCAAAGGTGCCTCGTTCAAGGTGACACGGCCAAAAGGCTAAGTAGCTGATACAGACTTGCTTACGTCCTAACTCTACAAATACTCAGATTAAAAATAAATTCTGCCCATTCTGAGGGTATTTTTCACAATTAAAGGTGCTTTTTACACTGTAGATGAATACTCAGACAAGTGGTTAATGAAGCCAACTTCCAGTGAGCGTGGAGGTTTACTTCACTCACGGCTGCCTGGCTGAAAACTGCACTTCCCTGATGGTCCTTGGTTAGACTCGGGGTTAGAAACCAGGCAGCTTCCACCCAGATGCTGAGATGCTACTGTAACCACTGCAACCAACACTTGTGGTTTTCAACTTACAACACACACTTGAAAACCTCAGACTCAGCAATGCAGTTTCTAACCTGACACTGAAATGATTATTTTTCAGTCATTTTTGTTTTAGAGCAGGAGCAAGGGAGACAAACCAGTTAGGAACTTTTTTTTAAACTGTCAAATACACTTAACAAGCAATTAGTCAAAACGACAATGACAAAGCACTGTCTTAAAAAAAAAAAAAAAAAAGAGAAAGAAAGGAAAAAAAATCATCAGAAGCATACAGCATTATGGGAAACGTGTGCAGGAAATCCCTCATTTTCTAACCCAGAAACAAGCGCAATTTAAAGCACAGACGCCATCTTCTGCAGAACAATCCAGCCCCCCACCCTCCCCCAGTCCGTCCAAACTGAGGACAAAATAATGGGCTCCCACCAAAGGGCCCAATACCTTATTTTTCGTTTAAGATGAAAAATATCAGTTCAAATATCCTCAACATGCAAGAAGCTGGGAAAAAGTAATCTCCTCCAGTCGGCTATATATATATATTTTTCTTTAAAAAAAAAAAAAAAAAAAATCTGTTATTACAGACTGGATCATTTTGGCGGGCACAAGAAACCTGGCAGTGAACCCTAACTAACCTGCATGAATGACAAATTACAATGGTTGGGGAAGAATAAAAAAAAGAAAGAAAAGGGGGAGAGGAGGGGGAAAAAAAAGGAAAGACAGCGATCCTTTAAATGTAGTTAAGTCTGCACAAGTCACTGCCACTTTAGTGGTTTCATTTACGTGAAGGGGGAGGAGGTGGGGGAGGAGGAGGATACTGGTAGGCAGTCTGCCCCATGTAACCTATCATGTTGGTAGCTCCCGGAGGCTGTGCAAACTGTTGTGACATCAGTGGCTGGGGCTGCTGCCCAGACCGGCCTATCCCACTAAACTGCTGGCTAGAGCTCTGTGAACTTCTCCCGGCTGTGGTGGTGGTACTAGCCCCGTAAGTGCCAGCACCGTACTCTTGGGCTGTATAGCCACTGGTGCCATAGGCAGCTGCCCCATAGGTGCCTTGCCCATAGGTATATTGGCCTGCTTGTGTTCCAAAGGTGGAATTTGGACTTCCATAGCCACTGCCATTAGCATAACCAGCTCTATCGGTTTCACTCCGATCTCGATAGCTTGCAGAGTCCCTCCGGCTACCATCCTTGACTCCTCGAAGCCTCCGGTCACACTCATCCTGATACATCAGGTTGGGATTGTTGGCTGAAGAAGTGGTCCGGTATCGAGAACGACCTCCTGATGGGAAGATATATGGAATTTTTAGTCCCAAATCCATGATTCAAGCATAAAGCCATAATTTGATTCTTTAACTGGGCATATCCAAGGGTGGTAAACATCAAAGAAAACATACTCTCAGTGATTCAAAACTTAACTTCTCGTCCTTTTAGGCCCTTACTTTACTTGAAGACAGCAAAACAAAAACAAAAAACAAAACAAAACAAAAAAACCACTGCCAACCCACAATCCTAGAAATTTCTTATGGTATAAAAGACTAGGCTAGTGACTTATTCTAATTTAAAAAAAAATGACAAGCAGCCCTGTTCCTATCCCCACAAAGGAGTCCTCCACTAGTGCACAGTGGTACTTTGAGGTTGCTCTACAAGTCCAGCTCTATCAGAATCACCTCACAAGCCTCAGAAAGAAAGAAGTACATGCTCCTTATTCCATGAATCAACATTTTTACAACTTCTCTGGTGATTCTGATGTGTGGCTCCAACATGCAAGTTGGAATGAACGAAAAATCAAAATACCAAACCGGAAATCAAGAGGTCCAGATTCTAACGTATACTTTCCCAGTGCTGCAGTTTTCAGGTCTGACCACCATACCCCAGGCACTTCTACCACACAACGGGGCAAAATTACTGCTCTCTTCACAGGAAAACTTCAAACTCAGACGAAGCCTTCTGAACACATTAAAAGCAACTACAATTCAGCTAAATTTTGAGCATTCATCATGTACTTCTAAATTTAAGTCTGTTTTACATTAGCTACACAAACAGTCTGCTGCAAAAAGCAGGACACTACTGCAGGCCCCAGAACTTCCTATATTCTTACATAAAAGAGGTTATGAGAAACCATTAAACACTGCCCTTTATTACCAAAACAACATACTTAAAGCATTCACAGGAATGGAACTATAAGGCACGATGAACAAAGATACCTTGGCAGTCCCTGGAGAGCTCCAGGACTTACCCTTACCCCCGCCGCCGCCACCTCCGCGGTGGTCCACCAGCTGCATAAGTTTGGGATTGATAGCCTGGTTTGCCTCTTCTAGCACCTTGATCAGTTCTCTGGCTTGCTTTAGGTTCCCTGGGGTGAAGAAGGTATAGGCCGTGCCCTTATTGGTGCTACGGGCCGTCCGGCCAATGCGGTGCACATAATCTTCCGAGCTGTTTGGATAGTCATAGTTGATCACAAACTTGACATCTTCCACATCTTCAAAGCCAAGGATGAGTCAATGTAGGTTGATGTGGCAAGGAAAGAGAAGGTAAAGGACATGCCAACGACAGGTGGGAAGCACGAATGCAGATGACAGCAAGAGGAAAGAAGATTAAGTTAGCAACCACTCTGACCAGAAACAAAAAAAGACTCATCCCAACAGAGTAAAAGAGGATCGGTGATTCTTGGGACATGCACAGCTAGTGGCATCTTTATCAGCTGTAACATCCTACAGGAATCCCATCCAACCATCTAAACTCCTGCCTCTTCTGTACTACAACCAATAGACTGACAGGAGTTGTATCAAGATTGGTCTTCAGACTGAACAAACTCCAGACCCACCCCCACCCCCACCCCCTTTATCTTTTTGAAACTGGAATGTGAAAGTGGCACCGCTGTTCAGTTACCAGGCCAAATCACTTCTACTCTGTTGGGAGAAGCCTGACAAAGTCTATCAGTAATGTAACAAACTTACCTTTAAACCAATCACAGAGCAAAATGAAAAAAATAAGCTTCACAGAGTTTATCACTACATTTTCAAGATTTAATAAAAACATTTGGATTGTTCAATTAAATCTTGCTATTTCATTTTCAAATCTCTGATAGGAACCAAAGATAAGTACACACCTATTTTCCTGTGCTGAAACATCCAAATTATATTCCCCTGTCAATTACCACAAGAGCACATTACACTAAAATTTCACTGTACTACCAAGCCCAGCTTCTGCCAAATGAGGTTTTTGCTCAACTCAAGGTTATTTCAACTCAGTACTTGCTTCAAGTATCAAACATTGTCTTGTAACCTGGGAAATTAAATGAATAGCCAGAGCGTGGGAGAACCATGAAACCTTGAGACGTAAGTTTAATATTCTGTCCACTGCTGGGAACTGGATTGAATAGTCTCCTAATGGTTAAGGTATGTAAATGTTAGTGTAATGCTTCCCACTAAATGTTTATTTTTACCTACTTAACAAACAAATTTAATATAACAGAAAGAATCCTAATGTTTTGTGGAAAAAAAATCTGCATTTTACAAAGAATATTCAGAAAATATCCTAGATAAAACACAGATTTTTGTGATATAAGTAATTAAAAAACATTCTCTGTTTGTTACCAGACCGATGCACACTCCCTCCTCCTTTGGGAAACCGCTGCAGCCGATCCCGTCTCTTTGCCTTTTATTTTTGGCGGCCTCCTTTCGAAAACTCCGCCTTCTGACACGGGACCACTGGAGCGCGGGGAGCATGCATCAAGGGTCCGTGGCAGTGAGAAGTCCCCACACACGCTCGCTCTGTGAACTGGCTTAGATGCTTCTCTGTAGCCCCATTTGGTTGCCAAGCGCCGGAGAACCTGGGTTCGGGTAAAAATTTCAGGTCCTCCAACGCCTCCCCCAAGGATAATTGGGGTGATTGTAGAAAAAAATAATTAATGAAAAAAAAAATATAAGTTACATCCAAAGGGTCAGACTGCATCTATTGCCCAGACTGGATTAATTTCAGGGAGAAAGGGGAGATGATTGGGAGGGGGAAAAAAAATGGGGATTAAAGGGCCTGTGCAGAAGGGGCATTATGTCTGTTTCTTATTACAATCAAGGCTCCTCAGTCTTTACTGACCCCTAAAGTCCTGAATCACACCAGAAAGACGAGAAGGCAGTTATCACAGGGGGCAGCGTGAGTCTCCAGCTAGGGTTGTTGATGCAACAAAGAAAAAAAGTTTACAGCGCAAGGATGGATGTAAGATAAGGGGATGGGCAACTAGGCCCCAAAGCCACATCTTCAGGGTTAGGTCAGTGCTCCTCAGTCAACCCCACTGTGCACGACCATGAGAAGCAGAGCAAGCTTCCTGCACTGGAAACACGAAATACGCTTCCCTGGCTGAAAGCACTGGGGACTGGAGCCAACTGTTCAGGTACTACTACTGAGGAGTATTCTGGAGGTACTCAATAGGGAGCAGACAGGGTGCCAAGTTCTTCACACTGGAAACGTGTCCTGTGCGCACACACAGCTGGCTGAGGGCCTAAGAGCAAGCGCAGCAGCCGGTTTTCTCCAGTCTAGCCTGCCCTGCCGCCATCTGTGCACTGCCACAGTATTTACGCGCTGCCTTTAGAGAAGATGCTGTAGCAGGGTAAGAAACAGAAACATTAACGCTGTGGCCAGCTGCCAGGGATAACTTTTTGTCTGACATCAAAAAGCCCTATGACATGGCCTGAATCTCCAATCGCTAATTGGGGGGACGACTAAGACTAGCCAACAGGCTCATCTAGAGCTGCTTCGGGCCAATGTAGATTTGCCTCGGCCATGTACTGAGTGATCTGCAGCTGATATCAAAGCTTCTGTTAAAAAACAAAACAAAAAAGAAATTCAATACTTTCAGTTTCACAGTATGTAATTTAAATCAAAAAAAGAAAAAATCTGAGTGGAAACAGAATCGTTTCCTCAGGATAATTATAATAAAATTATGGGAATCAAAGAACTTACCTGAAGGGAACATTTAAGAGGCCATCGCTCGACAGGAAGTGAAAAAAGGCCTGGTGACTCAGCTAAAAAGTGCACCCCTGTCTACGAGGTAGAAGCCTTCACTTTCCAGTATCTTGTAGGACCTTGGTCAGAATTCTGCCATTTTGGTGGGTTTTCCCCCTCCTTTTGATTTTTACAAGGCAGCAAACAAAGGGGCCCAAAACAAGCACGAAAGTTGAGTAACAAGAAACAGACTCAGGTAGCTTCCCTCTCCCCTCATTTGGATGAGTGGGGGGTAGGATGAAGAGTCTAAGTTATTCTAATGGCAGCCAATTGATCTGGGTTTAGGAATGCAGAGGGACATGGAGCAAATATATTTTAATTGTCTAGGCAAGATGCACAAAGAAGCTACCAGCACATAGCAAGCTTGTTTGTAAAACCACATTAACTGAAAGCTTTTAGGTCAACCTGCTTTCAGGCCTCAGCCTCTTCTCCCAACAGGCCCAAGTTCTAACTGCACCGATCCAGACATGACCTCAGAGGGCAGAGACAATTGTCAGTCATGGCTGCGGGTCACCACCTCTGAAGGAGGGAATGATGAGTGCATTGTATGAGAAGGCTTTATCACTCTTGCAATTCTAGTCTGAATATTCGTCCTCTGTGTTAATTATAAGGGAACATGATACTTCTTACTTCACTAGGCAAGAAACTAAATAACTCAAATAATTTTAAAACTTCCTTGATATAGCAATAATTTCATTTTTTTTGAAGTAAGTTTTAATTTAGCCCTGTTTAACTCAGAATGGGCTAAAGTACTTTAAAATATCTGTATACCTTTTGAATCATAAGAGGTAGAAAACCCCAGAACATCATCTTCAAATTCAACCCATTTATGATGCAAGTAAGGGTGGGAAGAGGGGATAGCTGAATGCCCTTGATAATTTTACTTTAGTAAATAAAACTGGGCAACGTAGATCTAATTGCTGAATGATATTGTATTATGTAGACTTAGTAAATTCCAAGAATGTATCACGTTAGCATTCATGGTGTAGGATCTCCATGTATACCTAGCCCACACTGGTACAGGAAAAACAGTAACCGAGGAAGGAGCTCACAAGTGCTAAGTTCAACCAAATTCATTCTCTCCAGCCAGAAAACACAACAAAGCCAGGAAGTTGGGCTGTTCAACTGAATGTCTCCTCTCCCTCTGTCTCAACAGTCATGCCTAGGCCTTGCTGCAGACCAAAGCCTGTTTGTTAGGAGTAGGAAGAGACTGAAAATTAAAAAAGGATTTAAAAAAAAAAAAAAAAAAATCGTGGGGGAAATCACGCTTTGTATTGTTCTTTTTTAAGTAGTTATCTAAACACACATGTATCCAACTCTAACTTGAAATGATAAACAAATCTTTAAACCAAAAGATACATATACCATTAACAGAGGCATCTATCTATACAAACCTAGCCCTCGGGAGGCTACATCTGTGGCAATGAGGATAGGAGCCTTTCCAGAACGGAATTCTGCAAAACAAGAATGGTACCACAAATCCCAATTACACAATCAAGGTGAAATGTCTTAAAATATAACCAGATAATCATTTCCAAACTATATATGGCCTTTTTATCCAATCACTTCAAGTAACAATCTCAGCAAATGCCAAGCCCCTTAGAAGAAAAGCACTAACTCTTCTAAAACTTTCTTATACACACCTTTAGCAGAAGGGCAATAGACAAAGCTACCCACACCAAGAATGAGGTACATTTAAAATGGTGTGGCAAGTTGTAAACAAAATTAATATGAACTAGATTTTCTCCCCTTAAATGATGACACTGATGTTATTTCAAATGAAAAAAAAAAACTAAAACCAAAAGTGCGGGGGTGGGATGGGTGGGCATGAATTACATGTAAGCAATGCAGAGCAGAAGTAGTACTTTTCTCCTAATGAATACATATAATGTATTAAATATGGTCTCGTTCACTTCACTGAGTAGACTTTCCATCAAGGCTAGTCCTGAACAACAAAAAGACCAGGGGGAAAAAAAGCTAACCCATGACTTCACAATCCTTTTTCCCCTAAACATTCAAGTGAGGGTCAAATATTCCACAAAGGTTTCCATTTTTATACTGGGGGTAGGTGGGTGGGTGGGTATTGAAGACAAAACCCAACACGTACTGATGTCAAGTTGATTCTGAATTCACAGTGACCCTAGAGGACAGAGCAGTACTGCCTCACACGGTTTCCAATGCTGTAAATCACTGCGGAAGCAGACTGCCTTATCTTTCTCCTGCAGGGCAGCTGTTGGGTTCAAAACATTGACCTTCTGGTTAGCAACTCAATGCTTCAACCAGTGTGCCATCAGAGCTCCTTTATTAAAGACATGAATTAAATAAAGGAGGTGTAGTCAAGTCATACAAAAGCATATAGAGAATCTTACATGAAGTGAACCTCATAGACCATAAAGGACTATGGAGACATACCCCAAGTGCCAACTTATGTTTCATTAACTAGAGCAGGGGACAGGCAAACTATGGCCTATGAGTCAGAGCTGGTATAGTGTCTATCACTCCTTTATGTATTGTCTTTATGCTCTCTTTTGTGGTACAATGGCAGAGACCTAAACAGAGACAACCATATGGAATGTGAAGCTGAAAATATTTACTATCTGGCCCTTTATAGAAAAAGCATGTGGAGGCCTGAAGCAGAGTACGGAATTTTGAGGAGAAAAAAAAATCCACTGGAAATGCTTAGTTTTATACTCACCATTAAGTACCCAATCTCTTTCTGGTTGACTCTTGTCTCCATGGATACACATAGCTGGCCAACTGTTGGAATAGTGACCAACATTTTAGAAAGCTTAAAAAGGAAAACGGCGTTTTAAAAAGAAGTGCTATCATATATAATTTTGGTAAGGTTTTTTAGACTACATGAACAGATTTCTGTGTTCACTTAAAGGGCAAGACACACGTTAAACATCACTGAGATATTATACAACAGTCACGATACTAATTAAAAAATTCCTACCAAGCTATCAAATCTGAGCCTAGCCCATTAGCTCAGGGCTGCACTCACCCATCTCTGCGCATCCTTCGAGTGAGGTCATCACAGCGTCTCTTTGTCTCCACAAATATAATTGTCTTATTTTCCTTTTCGGCCATAATTTCCTCCATGAGTTGGATCAATCTGAAAGCAAGAGCAACAATAACATATATGTATCAGAAAGGACTCTCTAGACACTATGTGAAAAATATGCTAGAAATAAACCCCTCAAAGCTATGGTATTTTCTATACATATTGTTGTTGTTATGTGCTGTCAAGTTGGCCCCGACTCAGAGTGACCCCTCCTTGGGTTTCCGAGGCAATATCACTACGGAAGTAGATTACCCCATCTTCCTTCTGAGGAGTGGTTGGTGGGTTTGAGCTGCCAGCCTTCTGGTTAGGAGTCAGGTGCCTTAGCCACTATGCTACCAAAGCTCCCATATATATTACATTCTTTTTATTTTACTAAACATTTTACAGACCACTATGAATCAGATGAAGGAGCTCTGGTAGTGCAGTGCCTAAAGCATATGACTGCTAACCAAAAAGTTGGCAGTTCCAACCCACCAGCTGCTCCACAGAAGGAAGATGGGGCAATCTACTTCTGTAAAGATTTACCTCTTCAGAAAGCCAATGGGAATAGCTATGAGTCAAAAGGTTCTACTCTACATTCTTAAGAAATTATCAATACCATCTACAGAACAAGCCTGATTATCCCTATTTGACAGATAAACTAAGGCACCAAGAGGTAACCAACCCATTACCAGCGAGGGGAGGGGAGAAGAAGGAAAAAAAAAAAAAAAAAATAGAGGTAACCAACCCAAAATTATACAGGTGGTAATAAGAAGAACTAGGATTCAAATCCAAGGATCTAGAGTCCCTGCCTTAACCACAATTCTGTTGACTTTGATACAAAGGGAAGATTGCTAGAAAATTAATCAAGTTTTTAAGCCTCAAACAATATTGGCTAATGTGTTCATTTCAAACGATTGTACAGATAGGTTTATTAGCATTAACAAAACACAGAGAGATCTTTCCTACTTGTGGTCTTTTTCGCTCTCCATGCAGACATCCACAATCTGGAGGATGTTGTGGTTGGCACTCAACTCCAGATTGCCTACGTTGATCTGGGTGTAGTCGCGAAGGAAGTCCTCGGCCAGCTGCCGCACTTCTTTCGGCCAGGTTGCGCTCCACATCAAGGTTTGCCTATCAGGCTACCAAGAAAGGAAATGCTTTTATTAGGCTAAGGAACTGCCGCAAGCAAGAGCATCAAGGGAACCAGGTATCAGCTTTGCATACCCTGATCTGGTCAACAATTTTACGGATCTGGGGTTCAAAGCCCATATCAAGCATTCTGTCAGCCTCATCCAGCACAAGGTAAGTACATCGGCGTAGATTTGTCTTTCCTGACTCTAGGAAATCTATCAGGCGCCCAGGAGTGGCTATGCAGATCTCAACACCTGTTTTTTAAAAAAAAAAAAAAAGAGCCAGCTAATTAAGAGTTTTTCCTTACATACTGTCCAAGCCTCAGCAAACAAACTAAAAAGCACTAGCTCAGGTAGTTGTATGCATGCAATCCTTCAGAGCAGTAGCTGAATTTTAACACAGTATCTGCAAAAGCCTGATGTAGGAGAAGAACCTAGGTACAATCATCAAAACCTCACATAGTTAAGTCTCTAACTCCAAATAGCTATCATAGTTAAATCTCCCTCCAAATAGCTATCATAACTATACCTAAGAATTCCTGAGCTGCTGAAATAAGTCTATTTTTTCTCCTTAGAACTCACTATTTTCCTCTCCAATTTCACCCATAGAAGTTAGTCAAGTGAGATAAACTATAAAGTTTTATACACTAAAATAACAAAATAACTTTTCATTACCTCTCTCCAAGTCTCGAATCTGAGGACCTTTAGGAGCACCTCCATAAATGCAAGTACTCTTCAATCTAGAACATTTGCCATAGTCATCAGCCACCTGCTGTACTTGCTGGGCAAGCTCTCTAGTAGGAGCCAGAACAAGACACTGAAAGAAAATAACCAAACCAAACCAAACACCACTTGAGACATTCATCCCAACTAAAACAAACAAAAAACGAAAATACAAAACATTAATTCTTACTCTACTGTCTAATCAGGTACTCTCGAAGTATGTGATAGGCTAGGAGTACAAAGGGTAAGGCAGTCCACTGGGGTATGGGAAGAAACTTAAGTACTACCTATTACTTAGTATTTATTACTTAATTCACATTATTACTTAAGTGGAAGGATACACGGGCACCCTCATTTGGGTTACTTTTGCAACATGATTTGCTCCATAATTTATCTGTGTTTAAGTGCATTTACAGACTGCATTACTTAGTTTTAACTATACAACTCTCACAAGTGGCTTTAAACTATCCCTACAACAAAACCAGATTAAATATTATTAAGACACAGATGAACTAAGAAATGGTAGAGCTAACACTTTTCAACTTCTATTTTAAGCTCTTTGCCAGGCAGATTAGGCAAAAACAATGACTTACATATAATCTGACAAGTAGTTGGCCAAAACACTACAAAATCAAGATCTTTGAAACAGTATTATATATACTAATAAAGCACAAATAAGTTTTGTTCAGTGTCAATTAGATATTAACCATGTATTAGAAAAAACAACACATTATTTCTGTTTGTGAATAACTGAGACATACTGTAATACTGCAGGCATAATTTATAAACACACACACATCCCTGGGTTACAAACATCCAATTTACAGACAACTTTTCTGGCCCTTTAATGCAGGGCTTCAAAATGGTTTTGTCACGGCCCAAGAAGCAAAACAAGAACAGATCCAAATTTTCACAACTTGGGTGATTCATCATGGTAACCAAAACAGGAAAAATTACAGGTAGAAGACCTGGAATGGGACACGTGGAAGAGGCACAGTGAGCCCTTTCAGGATCCTAATGTGTGGAATTCGATTACTGGCAAGTCCGTGGAAAGCAACATGTTCAAAGCAGTGCAGTCAGCTGCCATCTTTGAGTGGGGCAGCACTGCTTTAATGTTACATAAATTTGCCCTCACTTTGAAAGGATGAAGTCAATCAACCCCTACTGGCAACAAATTCATCAATCACCTTCATTTGGGGCATATGTGACTTTGAAATCAGTGAAAAGGCACTGACTGAGCCTTTTTTTTTTTTTTTTTTTTGCACTAAAGTGAGGCTAAAGAAGAACCCCATGCACTTGTTCTAACTGACCTCAAATTTCTTAATGACAGTAAGGAACAGATGTCATTTATAACCCAGACTGCCTGTAGTTAAGTGTAACCTCAAAACAAAAACAGGGTAAGAGGACTCCTTCAAAAAGTTGGGGCTATCCAAATTTTAAAAAAACGTATTACTGAAAATGATGAAGCCAAAGACCACACTGCCCGACATATACTTACAATTGTATTATTTAATTACAAAGAATACATATCCCCTACAGGACTTTGAGATCCACAGGGCAGGGACCTCCCATCTCATGCCTTTGTGTTCCTAACAGGATCTAAGCACAGCCAGCAATTAAGTACTACACTTGAATTTAATGCACAATAAATGCTTTTACATGAAGATAGTATGTGATTAGTCAGACTTTAGTTTGAATAAAAAAGCTCTGATGGTGCAGTGGTTAAATACTGGGCTTCTAACTGAAGAGATGGTGGTTGGAACCCATTAGGCACTCTGCTTCATTAAAGGTTACAACCTTGGAAACCCTACAGGGCTGCTTTACTGTCCTACAGAGTTGCTGAGATTTAAAACTGACTTGACAGCAGTGACGTGGTTAGTTTGAATTCAAGCTCAGCCATTTAACAGCCACAGGTATCCTTGGACAAGTCACCGAAATGCACTGTACCTCAATTTCGTAACAGTAAGATGGGGATTAGTATTACTTCTAGTCTTGGACTGGGACTGAGAATAAAACTTCTAAGTTATGTAAATCACAGTGTGTGAAATACAGTAATTATTAAATTGTAGTTATTCTTAGAATGATAAACAAATGAAATATACTTACGATTGGGCCATCTCCCCTTTCCAAGTATGGCTGGTGGTTAATATGAACAATTGCAGGCAGCAAATACTAGGGGGAATAAGAATAAGAAGCTTATTATACCAAAACTAAGTCCTTATCTTAATAGTTCTGACTTAACTACAGTAATTGATAATACCTAAATAGAAAATGAAAACAGAACTTACCACTGCCACACACAGGAGCAACATAAATTTGAACAATTTTAAATAGCCAAAATGATCACCAACACACCATCCGAATTAATTTTACAGAAACAAAAACAAAAACAAAAAACAAAAAACCACGAGAATACACGTGATAACTAGAATAGCAAAGGAAGTTACCACAGGTGGTACATACCGCCAATGTTTTCCCAGAGCCAGTCTGAGCAATGCCCACCATATCCCGGCCACTAAGGGCCAAAGGAAACCCTTGGCACTGAATTGGAGTTGGTTCTGTAAAGTGCTGATCCATCAACACATCCATTACATATTCTGTGAAACAGAATAAACATGTTACAACCAAGAACACACGTTTAAAAGCATCTAGGCTCATCAAAGGCAAGATCTACCCAGCTTTTATATCTAGGCTTATCAAAGGCAAGATCTACCCAGCTTTTATATCTCCTCACAAAGTGTTTTTCTAGTTCACTACTGCCAATCATCCACCCTCTCCCTCAAAAAATTCAAAGCCACTGTCTAAACATCTAACAGAGTAAGGAACACAGCAATGACTTATTGTTTGCCAAATTCAGTGATACTCAGCTTAAAAAGCACGCTCATTCTACAGTTTTCTAAAAGGTAAAGGTAAAACCCTAGTGGAAGTTGAAAAACCCTCAAAAAAAAGAGAAAAATTTTCTCTGTTTAAACTGGAGAACAGATACGCACTTTAAAAAAAAAAAACAAACAAACTCCTATGACCAGTTTACTATTGCTTACCCAGGGCAGGTGGGAGGGAAGGGGTAAGGATTGATACAACACTTAGCGGACAATGAGCTTCTGTTAAGGGTGATAGGAAAATTCAAGAACAGTTAACAGTGATGATTGAACAATATGATGAACTTTAATGTCACTGAACTGTACATGTGAAGACTGCGGAAATGGAAATTGTTACCCATACATTTACAATAATAATAAAAAAAATCTAAAAAAAACCTCATGCACCAGGCATGTTATTTACCTCTAGTGTTAAGCAAAATTTAAGAATAAAAAAACATTAATATAGGTAGTCCCTGACTTATGAAAGGGCTCTCTTCTGAAGACTCCATTTAAGTTGGTTCTGATGTTAACTCTAATAACTCATTTTTTGGTTTCCATTATCTTTTATTATCAGTACCTTTATGAATTTGATCTTTGCCTTTGGGGGCTGGAAACATCACATATAACTTACAGATTTATTTTAATACAGATATACACAAAAATACACAAATCATTAAAAAATATATACAGCCATTTAAACGCAGTTTGCTGTAACTCAAATTAAATATGCCTTAAGTTGGGGACTACGTGTCTTACCTTTCTGAAAGGTTTCTACTTGTCCTTTCAACAAAGTCCTGACCATGGGTTCAAAAACCCATTGCCATCAAGGTGATTCCAACTTATTGCTACCTCATAGGGCAGAGAAGAACTGCCCCCATAGGGTTTCCAAGGCTGTAAATCTTTAGGTTAAGCAGAGTGCCTCATCTTTCTCCCATCGAGTAACTGGTAGGGTCAAATCACTGACCTTCTGGTTGGCAGCTGAATGCTTTAACCACTGCACCACCAGAGCTTCTTTGACCATGGGTCAGAACCTTTAAATACTCTATTACCAATGTTTACCTTCCAACCAAATTCAATAATTAAGATCTTGGATTAAACACTTACGAGGGAAGTTAGCATGATGAAATGCAAACACAGGTTTAGGACAAACATCTCCCCCTCGCACCGTGATCTCTTTCTTTCGGCGTAGTTCATCAACCTCATACTATGGAAGAAAATAAAGTACAAGTTAGCAATCAAGTTATTCTGAAAATGCAGAAGTATACACTTTAACCCAGCTGGACAACCATTGTCCGATTCACAAATGAGAACAGAAAACACTTTTATTCAAAAGTTTATATTAGCTTTACTATAATTTCATTTAATCCTCATAACTTTGTGAGTTAGTGATGTAGGTGACACAAGTTCCCTTTTGCACACAAGAAAGTACTCAAAAAGGTTATACTACTTGGTCCAAGGTCAAAACTTGAAAGAGGAAGAAAACATGGACCTTAAGCCCAGGTTCCCTTACACTTTCTTTTGAATAAGTAACTACTTCATAGGTAGACTCCCAAACAATCGTATTGAGGTTCGAAGGACAAACAGGAATACGCAACGCCAACATAATAATTTAACTTACTAAATAGATGAAAAGACATGACTCAATATACAGTTAAAATTATATATATCAAATAGTTGGCAAGCACAGCCAACAAATGAGGACCAAACATTACATTAGGTGCATATTTAACTGGTTCCTCGTATGAGCATCAGCAGTCTCAATTTAATAAGAAACAAAAGCATCACTGCACTAGAACAAAATATCTAACAGCAGCAGTATATGAGTAAACTCTAGCTAATGTCCACTAGGTTCATCACCATGTATAAAAACCATAAAACAAAACAAAAAACTTACTGGAGTCAGCCTTGCTACTTCTGGATGTTCCACATAAAAATTCTTCTCAAATTTGGGGAGCTCACTCAAATCCCACTTCTTTTTACGTAAACGCTCCCCAGGATTACCAAATTTCTTTGGCGGAAGACCACCACCACCTCTTGCTCCAAAGCTAGAAATATCAAAATTTTAGGTTTATTAGGATTTTAAAAGAAATATACCTTACCATAAAAAATGAGAAAGATAGAATTCTCAAGATGGGACCAACCTACCCCCCCCCCAAAAAAAGAGCTTTTATTACTCGTATCAGGAGGTGTGGAGAAAAACTATGAGAGAACTTCCTTTTTTTCCCAAATGGATAGTTATGAATATAGGTTACACTAGATGCAAAAATAAAAATTCTTACACTTTAAAGAGAAATATAATACCAAGGATCATGGTCACAATTTTGGGACCACACTAGGTTTGAACTTTGGCTCTGCCACTTACTATATGACTTTAACAAATTATTTAACTATGCATCTATTTCCTGTGTAAAGTGAAATACCACCATCTATTTCATATGTTACTTTGAGAATGAAATGAATAAACATATAAAGTACTTAAAACAGTGCTTGGCATAGCAAGCACTCAATACAGGGTAATACAATTGTTTTCATTCATTCAAAAAATAGTTATTGGGTACCAACTGTGCACCAAGTTAAGTATTGTTTTAAGTGGTGTTAGAGACACTGAAGTGAATAAAAACACAAGTATCTACCTTGTATAATACTTAGAACATGTAGAACAGCACACAGGTTGACTTCTAAACTGCCCAAAAGGATAGGTAAAGGAGAACATATACACTTAAAGTAAGGTCAAGATTGTGGACAGAGAAAAAATATATACTTCAATCAAGTAGCCATAAACTTGGAACACCTTCCTGACCCCTCCCCTCCTTGGTGCTGTGATGAACACTTCCACTGTCTGCTAATCTTAGGAAAACTGCTAGAACCTGTTAAGAGACTGGTGAGGTGATTTTCAGGTTTAGTTTATGCTAACAGAACAAAGATCTAACAGACCTTTGCTTCCTTATCGCTATCGTGTACCTTTTTGGTTCTCAGGCACACTAAAACTTATTTATTATCTGGGTCGTGTAAAAGCAAACCTGAGCAGATTATTTCCAATCAATTTCTCATTTTCACAAATTCAACTGGAATACAAATGAAGCCAAACAGAAAATACAACAAATTAAAAGCTTCTCTCCCTTGAATCCTAACATTAAAATGCTCTTCATTTCTATTTTCAAACCTATGTAAATCATGTTTGGTATATAAATAGTATACCATATTTTTTCATCCTACTTCCTCTCTCCTTGTAACATACTACTCTGACTCTAAACCCTTTTCATTTCTAACCGACTCATGAGAAAAATTAAAATCAAAACAAACAAAAAGATACAGCCCACTGGAAAGTGAATTTGCTCTGTAAACTTTCACCCAAATCACAACAAAAAAAAAAAAAAAAGAAAAAGATACAGGGCAGAGATACTCATACCACAAAAGGAAAAAAACCCACCCCACATCTCTAATACGGCCTCAGGCTTCAGGATGGATACTGAACAGCCACTCATACTCATGACTCCCTTTCCCTCCTCCACTTGTAAATGAGGCAGCTAACTTAACTCTAAACAAGGTGCTTATTGTGAAATGGAAAGCTGAGTCTGCCCATTACTGTCATACAAAAAAGAGAAAATATATATGACACAAGAACAATTCAGATTCTAAGTCTAATTTTATTAATCTTGTTTCCTAGAAAGTGCCCTTTCAATGCTGCTTTCCAGCTCACACCTTAAACTCATGATCTAGAAACAGAAAACCGAACTTCTCAAAATTAAGGTTCCTTTTAAATTATCCGAAACAGCCCTTTTTTAATTGGGGGCGGGGGGGAGGGTCTCTTCCCCCTTTCTCCCTATTGCCCTGGTTATTTATTCACACATACTAGTCTAGATTCAAGATAATATTTGAAAGAAAAAGAAAAGGCTGCCTTCTGTTTTCAGTTTACCTGTGACCTCAAGAACGAAAGCAAACCTTTTATCCTGGCAGAAATGCGCTGATTTGTGCCATCCTTTAAATACGAACACAACCTTATCCCTGGTACACTACACTTCTCAGTGTTTTTACTGACTCATCAAGGAAACTTCATAAAGAAGGTAATTAGGGCACAGAACTCACAAAATCATCAGTGCCTTTGAAATGGAGGATTATAAATCTTAAAAAAAAAAAAAAAGTAATCTGACACTCAAAAGAGTTGATACGGGATAAACTAAATATGGATTACTTATCTGTACTTGTTTTCCTCTATTTCTTTTTATCACTTAAAACATACATACAGCCTCAAGAAAATATGAAACACCCATGGTAAAGAAACATTACCAGTACCCTGGGGGCCTCTATGCGCCTATTGCAAGTTCACTACCCACCATAACAACTACCTTGAAAAGTAGTATTCTTTTGCTCTTTAGTTGTATCATATTTGTATGTATCTAAAACATTACTCTTCTACCACAATTTGATTTCTGAAACAATGTTATGAGTGATCCACACTGATGTAAGTTTATTCGCTTTAGCTAAGTACTATATCCTGTATCTAAAATTTATGCAGACATTTGGGTTGTTTCCAGTATTTTGCTACCATGGAACAATGCTGTTATGAACATTTTTGTGCATGTATCCTGGGCAGATGTGCAAGAGCCCTAGACTGTTAAGATTTAAAGCCTGGAGGGGAAGAATTATTTCATCATTTTCAACTTTACTAGACAATGCTAAAATCTTTTTATGTGACTGCACTGAAATTCACTTCTAAACTTAGCTGTACTGTGACACTCAGCAAACGTTTCACTTCTACCCTTCCTTATTTAACACGGAGATAAAATATTTCCCTTCCTAACAAGATACAATCAAGATAATTATCTTTTATTTTGTAAATTAAGTGGTAATTGATCTACACACTTGTAGCTCGTCAGCTTGGTACTGGTGTAGTTGAGCCACAAACGACAAAATGTTGTGTATTTGAGCTGAGAATGATATTAACAGAACACTGCAAAGGAAAGAAAATGATCATCCCCATCTTCAGACGGGGAAATGGGCTTACAAAGGTGGAGGATCTTGCCCAAGGTCACGCGTAAATTAAGTGGAGTCAACGTTTATACACACACACACACACAGTAACAGTACAAATCAATACGGATAAGCAACTTTTCCGACATTAAGATCTGAATCCCAGGTCTTGAGGTGTGATCCCAAGTTAACTTCCATCCCCGTAACTTCGGCATTGCCGCATCAAGAATTTTCTAGCTAGGTCGGAAGATTAATACTGCCGTTCAATCGGAGGGAAAAAGGCCAAGAAGAAATTTTTAAACAATAACGACTCCCTGCTCCCCCCAAAAAACTTCCTCCCCAAACACTTCTGCGCTGCAAGTCCATTTTTTCCACACGCGAACGTGCTTCCTCCAAAAGAGGGGGGGGGGAGGAAAATACAAGGGGATTTCAAAAACATCCTAACAATTCAAAGTCGGCTTCCGAGTGTTCAGTTTCAAACCTGGTTTCCAGCCCCATTAACAGCTCTCGCTGCCTACAGAGAACGTCAGGGCAGCCATTTCGCGTTCACATTTTCCCAGGCGGAATTCCGAGACGTCCCCTTCTTTTTTCCAGGAACATAATTGTGTTTCACAGATGGACGCTGAGGCCTAGAGCGACCCAGTGACTCGCCCAGTCGGCCGGGCGCTACAATCCCGAGAGGAGGCGCTACTCGGGGCCGGATTGACGGCGGCCATGTCGGCCCCCGGCCCGGCCTCTCTCTCCCCGCGGGGCAGGGCCCCGCCACGACAGCCGTCCGCAAGGAGGGGCTGCAGCGTCGCCAAGCCGCCGCCCCTTCTGCCAGGTCACGAATGACCCCGGGGCCGAGGCCCAGGCGCGCCCGGAGGCCCGCGCACTCAACTATCACTGCTCCGCTCGCCTCCCGGGCTCAGGAGGGCTCTTGCCAGACCTGCAGTTTCCTCAAAAGTCTCCCTCTAGGCCGGAGGCGGCCGTCTCCTCAGGAAACCTCCTCCCCCCGCCCCACGTACCCGCAAGGCCTTTCTTCTCCTCCTCCTCCTCCTCCCTTACCCTCCACGGTCACGATCCCGGTCCCGATCCCCAAAGCCGCCTCCGCGCATGGTCCCAAACGGATAGAGATCTGGGAGCGGGGCACGGATGGCCGCGCTCTGGAGGGCCTGCGGCTCCGGTCTGGTGACGACCGATGGCGGCGGCGCCTCCGCTGTTGGGGCGGCGGCAGGCGCGACGCTCTCTCGCTCCGACGCGCTATCTCCCGTCGCAGACGCCACCGTCGCCGCCTCTCTCGTCGGAGACGGGAGCTAAACACAGAGAATCGGGGTTATAGGAACGGGGGTAGGTCTGGCTACCCTCAAAATCGGCAGTGCCGCGGCTTCAGCTTCTCCTTCCCTCTCAGCGACTACACAAAATGGCGGCCGCCGCTGAGACTGCTCCAGTTTAACGCTACGTACGTCGGAGACGATACGTAAACAGCGTCTCGGAATAGCCCAAGGGCTTCTCAGGGTAATACGGCTATTCTTGGAAGCGGTTTGCGTTAGTTACGGAGATGGGCGCACTTTAAGGTAGGTAGACGGAAAACAAAGTACGGAGCGGACGTAGAGTTCTCGCGCCACCTGAACTAGAACGTGGGGTGGGGGTGGGGGACGAGAGCCTCCCGTGCGACGTAACATTCTTTGCGGCATTAGCCGGCCCACTATTGCAAAGATGCGCACTCTGCGTAACGCATTCTGTTTAGAGAATAGTGATTTTGTCTGATTCCGACCGCGGGACGGAGACCGGGCGTTGTTTTAAGAGACAATAACTACCGTCCATATTGCAGTCATCAAATTCCAGGGTCTCCAAGTGCCAAAAGCCCAGGAGGATTTTAGACTCCCTAGCTGGCGCTCCTACAAAGCCTCGCCAGCCTACTCGCCCCGCCGCCGTGGGCCAGCTGGCCGCGCGCCTCAGTTCCATTTCTTTTCGGTTGCCTCTGACTGCGTTCCTGCCGGCAGCCATGATGGATGTGCCTTGTCCGGTTCTTTTGAGAGTGGGTTAGGCAGCGACGTGCTGGCCGGGTTAAAGCGCTTCCTGCTCTACCTGATTCACACTGAAGTGAAATTTCTAAACAGAATATTCTTACCATCCACAGCGGAGCACAGTTGACGTTGTGCTAACACAAGAAAATTGTGGGTGGGGCACCTCCTGAGGTAGACGCCGCTGCCCTTTCGCCGCCATTAAACGGTGCTGCTCCAGGAGGCCGGTGGCAGCCCTTCAGCGCTTTCCGGGAACGTGGAGGTTTAAGAGCGCTGGTCTTCAAACGCATTAAGTGGCATAATGACATGTTTTCAACCAGGCCAGGCCCTGTTCTCCACTCTCATTTCCTTCTGAACTGACTTTCTTCTTCTTACTTCCTTTCTCCTGAAACTGCACTTCATAAGCACGATTCATAAGCTTGTCCGAAGGAATTGTGGAACAGGGCCCTTGGAGACCAGCTGTCAAACGTTCTTTTCTATTCACTTTTTCTACAAATGGGGAAAGGGAGGAGATTGAGACTCATCACTGTGGGGTTGAGTGGTGTCTCCTACCCCGTAGGAAACACAGCATAAAGAAGGGAACTAATTGAGAGGCAAGTGTTGGGCTGTTGACACAAGGGGATACCCAATCACGGATTCGTTGACAAGTCTAAGTAAGACCTGTACGTCAGGCACTGTTCTCTGGGGCACGCTGGTGAACAAATTGTTCTTGCAGTCATGGAGTTTACCCTCTAGTGGGGGAGACAGACAATAAATGTTTATGTTATTAGGCTCAAACTAAAACCAGACCTGCTGTGGAGTCAATTCTTTACAGGAATAGCAACCCATTTGTTGTTGTTATGTGCTGTCGAGTCGGACCCGACTCATAGCGACCCCTCCTTGGGTTTCCGAGACAGTATCACTACGGAAGTAGATTGCCCCATCTTCCTTCCGAGGAGTAGCTGGTGGGTTTGAACCGTCAGCCTTCTGGTTAGCAGTCAAATGCTTTAGGCACTATGCTACCAGAGCTCCTTAGCAACCCATAGCCATACTATTAGAGTAGAACTGCCCCCATAGGCTTTCCAAGGCTGTAAATGTTTATGGAAGCAGAGTGCCACATCTTCCTCCTAGGGAGCAGCTGACGGGTTCCAAGCTCCCACCTTTCAGTTAGCAGCCCACTTTACCTGCTACACCACCAGGGCTCCTTTATGCTAGACAATTGCTAAATAAAATTTTGAAGAAGCGGAGAGAGGGGATAGTGAGTGGAGGGGGGCAGGAGGAATGTACTGGTCCTGTAGTGTGTCCTGACCAAGTGATAGGTGAGCAAAAACCTGAAGTGAGGGAGCTAGCCTTGCCAACATACATGGGAAGAGCAAGTGCAAAGGCCCTGAGGTGGAACCAGTGTGGCTGGAGCAGAGTGAGGAGGAGAGGCAGGAGGCAGCCAGATCATGAAGAGCTTGTAGCCCATGGTGACAAACTCATCTTTTCCTCTGAGTAAAACAGAAAGTTCCTGGAAGGTTTTGAGTAGAGTAGCATAATCAAAGGACCCCTGTGACTGCAGTGTGGAGACATTGAGGCTGGGCCAGGACAGAAGCAGGCAGATCAGTTAGGACACGTAAAGCAAACCAGGCAAGAGATGATAGGGCTTGGTGCAGGTTAGGGCTGGGGAGAAATGCGCTGATTGTGAGAGCCAAGCTAAAGATTTGCTGATGGAGTGAATGTGAAAGAATAGTCAAAGATGAACCTTGTAGAAGTCGGCCAACAAATATTAAGCTCCTGCTGGATGTATACAGTGTGATAGGCACTGAGGGTAAAATTTGGACTGATTTCTGTGTTCATGATTTATGTTGAGGCTCTCTACTTAATGATAAATAGTTCATAAAGGAAGGTAGGAACACTGACACCTTCCCTACATTTTGTTGCTAGCTTAGGTCCTTGTCTTACAGGATATATAATGTACAGTACATATAAAACTTATCACAATATATAATTATATATTTCTTTCATTTTTGATTGCTCACCCCCAGAAAAGTAATCTTGTAATCCTCCTCTGTGAGACAAGTTTCTGATTACCAAGTCAATCTACAGAATGCATTTCTCTTTCTTGGTATGGTTACCTCTGTTTTCCCACCAAAGATGGTGGTTGCCTTTTATTATGTTGTTTCTAAACACAGAAAAAGATCTTCCCTAGGTACGGAGGTCAGATAACCTAAGAATTTCATTAGTAATAGCCGTCACTGTTGGTATAAGCACAATTCATCTCCCTCTCCCCCAATCTAAGAGCTGACATTTATTAAGTGCTCATGTTCACTGTGTCCCAGGGACCATACCTTGAGCTTTTATTTATTGAGCTTTTATTTATTTTTGATCTTCATTATTTTATTTTATCCACATTTGTAAGTTGAGAAGACAATACCTCATAGCAATGTTGAGAAAAACACTTAGAGTGGTGCCTGGTACATAATAAATACTCAACAAATGTTAGCTGTTAGCATCATTCCATTTTACAGGTGAGAAAGCTGAGGCATAGAAAGGAAACCAGCCCAGGGTCACAGAGAAAATGGCATAATTGGGCCTCAAATCCAGGTACTCTGACTCAACACTATTGACATTTGGGACGGGATAATTGTTTGTTGTGGAGAATCCTATACATTCATTATAAGACAGATAGCAGGAGCCCCTGCCTACTAGATGCTAGTAGGATCCACCCCCTGCCCAATGTCTCCAGACATTGCTAGCTGCCCCCAGTTGAGAAGCCCTGCTCTGGGGTCAACATGCTCAGCCATTATGCATACTACCTCCCTGTGGGTCACAGGATCAAACTCATTCCCTTTCAATTGCCAGGTTTTTCTTGATTTGCTTTCTGAGATCTTAACTGCCAGCAATACCATTATCATTTTTCATTTTACCTGTGTTTTACTGTTATTATTGCAGTATATTTTATGCTCAGTTTTCCATCACCAAGAGAATTAATTCCTTTTGTTTAGGTTTTAAAAACATCAAAAAAACTCACCACCATTGAGTTGGTTCTGACTCATAGCAACCCCCATTTGGTTTCTGAGGTGGAAAATCTTTACAGAAGTAGATTGCCCCATCTTCCTTCTGTGGGTGGGGTGCTGGGTTTGAACTGCCAGCCTTCTGGTTAGCAGTCAAATGCCTTAGATACTGCACCAGCACAGGTCCTTTTTAAAGCCATAGACTTTGGTTTTTAAGCTTCTGTTATGTGAATTGTGTGTATACACACACACACACAC